ATACAGGACCACTGGCGGCACTACTAGGCAAGATATTTCTCAAGCCACTACCAAATACTACCCAAGCTTTGCGAGCAGCAGTTACGCGCCTACTACTTACAGCCCGCCGACGAAAAAGTACGTCGGCAACGATAATACTCAGGCGCAAACTGGACAGTATTACGAGAAATCGAGCCAGCCTGTGAAGAGCTCTTCACAATATTACGACAGCACCAAAGCGCCGAAGAAAGCGACGCAGTTTAACAATTACGATTCGAAGTACTATACGGAGAGCAGCACGGGAAATTATGATCTGGCCAGGTCCTCCGTTGGGATTGGATTCAGTCCTGCCAGCATCAATCATCTAGCGGAATCTCCGAGATCTACCACTCCAGTGCCAAGGTATGGACATGGTTTTATCTAAAAAAAATACTTTTCATGTATAAAATTGACTTGGAATAAATTGTCTCGTTTTTCAAACATGTTTTCTATTACACAGGAAAATCTCTACAGCCACTACGTACAATCCGAACACTTTCTACTCGAACAGCCAGAGACAGCAGTCTCCAACGACCCCTAAAGCAAGCACCTACGTGAGCGGCTCGGCCAGACCATTTTCGTCGACGACGAGGCTTCCAACCACGACCTCACCGAAACCGAAATCCGGGAAGAAGAACGACTACGACTACGCGTATTACGATAACATAGCTGGTCTAGAGTACGACAGTCTCGACTTGGAGCACGTGACGGGAAACAAAGAATCGACGAAGATCGCGAGGAATTGATTTCATTTGAATTAACTGAGCAGCGATTGAGCGTTTAGACGTGAATGGATAGAAACCGCTTCAGCGATTCCAATAATGATAATAATATTCCTGCGTTATAGATAAATTGTAACACGTGTTTCTGTGCTGGAATCGTTGAACGTTTCTACGAAATTATTGAATTTTACCAATAATAGTGGCCAGTGCATTATCAAAATCGGCTTTCGATAACCGGTAGCCGAAGGCGGCATTGAAAACCGGTTTTGTTGCAAACAATAGATCGCCTTATTAAATATATAATACATATCAGTTTTTCCTTAAAACCTTAAAGGTCTTTTCTCTCATTATTCGTTTACAGTATTGTAGGG